TTCCGAATGGAGTTATGAAGGAAAGTAGTGCAGCGGTAGTAGTCCGGGTTCACGTGCGAGACGTCGTAGGATCGATTCCCTGGCGGGTTCTCTTTTTTGCCTTCGCTGCAAAATGATTGAAAAAGGCTCCCAACTACCTTACTCGATCAATGCTTGCCTGTAGTTACCCGTGCAAAGACTTTGCGAGGAGTTTCTAATCAGTTTCGGCGGTACTTACTAAAGACTGCACATGGAGCCCACAGAACTCTTGGCAGACGTTTTTGCAGCAAACAAGTGTGATATTCGTGTTCCGGAGATTAAAATACCCCTAGGGACAAGTTTGTAGCCAAATTTGAGATTTCGACCAAATTTCGAAATAAGCTGGATATTCCATGGCAGGCAGACCCATATCGAGCCTAGAGGAGCCTTTGAGAGATATATTGGTTTTCTTGGTTTCTGAAAGTGGAGCAGTGTCTTGGTTTCCAACTGTTCGCGGAGTGATTCAGAGCGCCACATGTTTATTATTTTCGGGAATTTGAGGGAGGGTAGCCGTTCTTCAAAATACGGTCAAGCCTCGGAATGATGGAGTACGTACGCATTCAATGAGTTGACTCGCCAGTTTTTTTGGAGTTACTCAAAATCGTCGAATTTTTTAGAATTGGCCTCAGGAAGTTATTGGATACTTGAACACAGACTACATTTCGCTCAGAGACAAAAAACCTCGCGAAACTCCGTTCAGCGAAAATCGTTTGGCAGATTTGGGAAGAAGATTTGAGATCAGCGTCCGAAACCACATACCATGATACTTGTCTCATGTCATAAGGACACTTCGACCCTTCATCCTTCCCTAGTGAGCACAAAACGTGCTGCTTTTTGGCGGTTCGAGACTATTTTCAAAAGTACGAGTCGCGAATGGATCTCTAGAGGAATTCCATTCTTGAGTGAGATAGCAGGGACGCCTATGTATGAGTGGTAGCATTGTCGCGAGTAGAAAGTGCGCTTCCTTTGCTTGACCGTTGCGACCGCTGCCGTTCTTATCAATAGCTGCATACGTGGTGTCTGCGCCATACCGCATACATTTTTTCCTTCTCTCCTTTTCTCGCTGCAACCACGGTTTTACTACACATAAAAATTTTCAGTGTTATCTATAGTTCTTTCCTTTCCGCTAATGTTCCTCTTCGCCTTTTTTGTCAAAATTTCGAGCAAAATATCCCACTTATTCGGGCGCAACCCTCTGCTATAATTACCATAGCACCACCGAAATGGTAATTTAAATACCTCTAAGCTCTAGGCTTTAGTCCTAACGAAGTGTGAGGCAAACGTAAGAAGAATTGAAGAAGTAACTGACGTGAAGGAATTTTTTTACATATGTACTCTTGTGAAATTTCAAAAACATTACATCACCTGTCACTGGAAGGGTTAAACTGAAGTTTTTCGACATGCCCATGTCAAATTAGAACTCTTAATTACTACGCGTACTGTTGCAAAGAACGATTCTACGGTCAAAAGAACAGCAATGACGGAGTTTCACTCAAAAGTGTCGTTATCTTTTGCATGGGTTATTTCATCTGTTTGTTGGTGCAAATCTTTGAACGGCAATTTTTCTTTTGAGCAAGTGCAGTTCTTTGGATTGACGTGGATGACTCACAATTCAAAAGGGGCTCAATTTGTCACACTTGGAGTTTCAGTCCGGTCATCCACCCCTCTTAGGTTTTTCTCACCCCTCGTCTGAAATATAGCCGACGACAGATCGTCGTTTCGATATCACGCAACAGCCTTTGTTTGGCATTATTTTAAAATTTGCTGTTGTCACAACAGCGCCGCCATCGCCATCCTGTTCAGGCACAGACGCCTATCAGACGACCTTGTCACTTTCACTGCGCCCATTCAAAATGTGTCTATCACTCGATGGAGAACTGCGCGACAGGAAATCCCTTTAAACAGATCAGCAGAGTACACAAATTGCGGATGAGCAGGCTTACGACAGGTGTCCTCCAACAAATAATTTTTGTAGGGAACAAGGCGATGCACTGCGGAAGAAACTGCTGATGGTTAAGCCACATCCTTAGGAGCATTGTGTGAGTAGGTGAAGTAGTGAGCCAAGGAGTTTGAGACTGCATCGCTTTGCGTCAACCGGATCTGTCATCCTTCAGTCGATTCGGCCATATCGTTACAAAAACGACAGAAAATGGGGTCTCCTCACAAAAAAAGCAGCTACCGGCACATTGTTTGCGGAGGCCGCCGCCCGTCTGACCACTCGCTACGCTACGAGAGGTCGTTCCGGTCGACTTTCTCGAGCGTTCATGACGATGATCGCACGGGGTCACCGAACGGGTATACTTGAATCCATTAATGCTTCGATTTAGCTATAAGCCGACCGAACTTGAATTTTCATAAGTTCGCGGAACAGTGCCGCGCTGCCGACCAGCGCCAGCCATACTAGATATTGGATCGGGGAAACCGATATGGGCTGCTACACTCGGTTTTGCGGCGATTCTTCGATTTTCGCACCATTCATCGTAAGCGTAAACATTGAGCACATTTTCGGTTTGGGCAAATTTGGCGTAACAACTTTCACAGATAGAATCTTACGTAAACACTTGTGGGCTGGTGTGATGTAGGCTAGCGACGGATAAGAGGCGGTTCTTAAAACGGAGGGAGCCGACCTCTAAAATACACACACGACGGCGTCTGCTGAATGTTTGTTATTGCTTCGATTAGGTTTACTTTGCTTTAGAGCATCGACCTTGCCTTGATCCCCAGTTGTCTGTCGTTGAAGAATGAAAAAATCCGTCTCTGGCACGGACCCGATGGTAGCCCTCAGCTGATTGTCCTGGTTCTCGACACAGTATCATATTTGCAATCCCACACACTCACCGACTCTCGAAGCCGTGACATAGGCATTTCAGCCTCAAAAATACTCTGCTATTCTCATCCTCGTACGTTGCCCTTCGTTTTCCGCCACAGCCCCTAGATTACAGTTCTGCCTTTGGAACAGAAGTACATCGTGGATTCTCATAAAATCAACTCGCTTAGCAACGTGTAGAACTCGACATTACATTTCCAGATGGCGCTCCCTTCCCCCCCCCCCCCCGTCCGCCCCGTGTTAACGCATCTATTTACCGGCTTTATTTACTACCAATCCTCAGAGTTGGAGAAGAGCTCTACGATTGCCAGTTCTTTTTTATGTCTTTACGTTCACTCTCGTTATAATAGTTCGTATATAAGCATAGAATCGTTATCGACAATCTTGTCGGCATAGGCTCTGGAGAAAAGTGGAGACTCCCGAGTAATTGCTCGGCAGTAGTTATTGGTATTGCCTTTCAGTGCTGAGATCCTCATCTGTCCTGGGAGCTCGTGTTTGGCTCCCTATTTAGCTTCAATGCATCTCTAGACGCGTTATCAACTTCGTTTTAGTGCAGTCTCGTGGTCCGCAGTTCTGGCGCCCTCTCATTGTGACCCACCATATGAACGAAGAGCAGGTTTTTCCTCCATGTTTTCGCCAGGAAACCGGCTCCACTAGATACTCTTCAACTAAAGGGAGTGAAGAACTGATTAACTCGTCATCACCACCGTACGCACCAAGGGCCGTCTATGTATATTAACCTAATCTAGGGCAAACCGCCCTCCCAGCTTTTGTCTTCCATTTCCCCGTTGACCCTCGTCCTCGGTTCAGAGAGGGTAAAACCTGCCGTCGCCTCTAATTGTTCTTTGTCCCTTTGTGGGAGGTCTTCGTTCAAAAGTCCATTGAAATACTAATCATGGACGAAGGTAATGGAATGACAACTGGCGCACCTCTCACGCGAACGGTAGGGTCATAATCTCAAACCATGGTGGTCCCCGCCCCGCCCCCGAGATAACGACGCTTTCGCGGTGTCGGTCATAAGCACAAAACTGCCTTAAAAGATCTAAAAATATCGAGTCGAAGTTTCACAAGAATGCTGGGTTGCGAACGAAACTTTTATTAACTAACGAAACCGGTTCTAGTCCCGCCTGGGGCGAAAGTTTTGTTCACAACCCAGCATTCTTGTGAAACATTCGCAAGGCGAACTGCGGCCAAAAACAGCAGTTAACAAACAAAACAAGTCAAAGATCTTTGAGTTGAAGCATGCTGACTAGCACCCGCACGTTATTGTATGCGCCATACCACGTTTAAATTCTACGACGATTCTGAGCGGAAGTGAAACGCATGGCGCATTCCAAAAGGATTTGATCAGTGCTAAAAGCTTTAATCTTCAAAAAACATTGTGACCAGGCTTGCTTTGGAATTGAAACAATGGACAATGACAAATTTCTGGATGCCTCTGTTATTCCTGTTGAAGAACCGATGTCGGGCGCTTCAGGAAGCTGCTCATGAAAAAGTATACAACAAAAATCAAGCATCTCGAAGGTGTCAGTCGAGCGGCATTTGTTACGACATAAGGCTTAAAAACACTTGGACGAGTTCGGAGGGAATTCTGGGGATGTTCTTATACCTCTGCCCCCCTTTAGTCAGAGCAGATTCCTCCTACGCATTACACGTCAGAGCCGTTGTCTGAACCTCATTGGACACATTCCCTAACGTCGATTCGATTCCAAAGCCGGACAGATCGCCCTATTAGGCAAGTGTATCTGGCCATTTACGATCACGCGATGATGAGGGTATGATTTGTGGATCGCACATCTCTTGGACAAAAAACAACAGTCACCATGATCTCACTGAGAAGATTCTTTGAAAGCTAATTTCATTCAAACACCGGCTAACCGCTGCCACACAAACTGATCACAATTCGAGTTTCGTCTGCCGAGCGCCCGGTCGGCGCCCGACGGCTGTTTCGAGCGCATTTGGTCAGAACATGCAAGCTATGATATGATTACATACATTAGAAAAACAATATAAGTTCGTTTGATGAACTTATGAATGAGATTTGGCGGTTAGGTAATAAGCCTCTGGAAACCCGCACGCGGACCGGTAAACCGATGGGAGAGGCGGGACCGCGAACAGCTATAAAAGCCGCCAGGGGCATTTTGATGCTATCGGTATGTATTCCTCCGATAGCAGCGACGAGAAGAAGCTGTGGCTCGAGGCCGAAAGCCTCCGTCGCATCGCCTTTTTCGGCATCTGTATCAGGTACTTGATAAACTTTACTATTCTGATTTTGAAATTTTTCACATTTTCTGCAGATTTTCTTTGTTGTTCTGTACATTACGAAACCGCTTTCAGTACCGTCGCCACTCTGACGGCCATCGTTGCTATCCCGTCCCTGTACAACTATATGCAACATGTCCAGTCTTCCTTACAGACGGAAGTCGAGTTCTGTAAGCATCGGACGAATGGTCTTTTCGACCAGTACGAACGAATGCAAAGGATCAAGGGAATTCGAGGAGGCCTCGTGAAACGTCAAGCTGGGTATGAAACTCCCAGCGAATATAAAGGCCCAACTGATGCTGGAGTGCAAGCTGACACTACTCAGCAAGCCTCTAGTTGCTGCAGCTGCAAATCAGGACTTGCAGGGCCACCTGGTCCTCCTGGTCTTGACGGTCCAGATGGAAAAGACGGTCAGCCAGGAGCCAACGGAGAGCCTGGAACTGATGCCGAACCGGATGCAGTACCTACCGCTGATGATTTCTGCTTCGACTGCCCTGCTGGTCCCCCCGGACCTCCAGGAAACCCAGGACCCAAAGGACCTAATGGAAACCCAGGAGCCGATGGGCAACCTGGCCCCGATGGCCAACCTGGACAGCCCGGACCTCCTGGACCACAAGGACCACCTGGTGCAGATGGAGAACCTGGCCAACCTGGTGAACAAGGAGCACCTGGAATCGTTGAGGAAGTTGCAGTTCCCGATGGACCAGCTGGACCCCAGGACCACCAGGACCACCTGGACCCGATGGACAGCCCGGAGCGCCTGGTCAACCCGGAATGGACGGACCTCAGGGACCACCCGGAGATCCAGGACGTGACGGAGCGCCAGGAAACCCAGGAGCTCCTGGAGAACAAGGACCTCTCGGCGAGACTGGAGCTGGAGGTGGCTGCGACCACTGCCCTCCTCCAAGAACTGCTCCTGGATATTAATTTACCAGGAGTGTGTACTTGTATTTCTGTATTCATTGCTCTCACAAATACGACCTCATCAAAATAAAACTAAATTTAATTTCTTTTGTTCCCATCTTCATGTAGCTTTGAAAAAAGTGTTGTCAAGAATGGTTTTGTCGACGAGTTCATGTTGCAGTTTTATAAGTGGGAAAGTGCTGTTCATATTAGGTCCGAGTTGGAGCGGAACTACGGGCGACGATATCCGAGATGTGGATTCGGTTTCCACTAAGAAAAGCATTTCGATTCTTCGCATGCAGAAATGTTGGGATAAGCGGTCGTTCAGGGAGCGACCCACGCAGGGAAA